ATGATATATATATATATATATATATCCATCCACCTCTAATGTGCCTAACAATTCGAGTACCAACTCTTTAAGACCAACTGTACCAAAGGACATTCGAATCCCTGACCTAAGGGGTCTTATACCGTGGATGCAACCAACAAGCCGGGGTGCACGATCTATATATATATATATATATATATATACGACACAAGGTTGAATAACTACTCTGAGAGGGCCAAAGACTTACAATACCAAGAAAATGCTAGATCAACACAAGTTGTGAGGCAGCGATTTGGGCACATTGAGGTGCCATGCCAGCCAGGAAATATCTTTATCTCTCCACATCGTAGGAGTTGAACCCCCGGAGAAGTTCAAGCTTCAAGCGTTGGAGGCGTATCAAGGCCGATCAGATCCCAACGACCACAACCTTGTTTGAATCCGCGACATTCTTGCTGATGGTCTCAGACGCATTTAAGCGTCGCTTGTTTTTCACCACTCTGAGGTCGTTAGCCCTGAAGTGGTTCAATTGGCTCTTGGTCAGGAATATCAACAACTTTTCAAAACTTAGAAGGCTCTTCTTGGCACATTTTGCTAGCGCCTGAGTGTTAAAGAAGAGAGTGCAGACCCTATAGTAGATGAAGCAAGGACTAAACGAGAGTCTAAGCTCCTACATCCTCCAATTCCAAAGGGAGATTCTGGAAGTGAGAGACCTTCGACACAGTAGGCCCTGAAGCAGTGCCTAAGACACGAGAGGTTTCACTGATCTCAACTTACACGAACCCCAAGGTTTGGCCAAATTGCTGGAAATGACAAACAAACACATCCTCGTTGAGGAGAGCATCCCCAAGCTGAAGCCGGAAGATCGTCGGGTCCAGAAGAGAGCCCCACAAAATAGCGAGTGGAAACCAAGGATCCCTGACCATGTGTCTGACCAAGGTGTGAAGATAGCTAGTCCTTTCAAGACAACAAGGGACCCGACCGATGAACAATCGGGGAGGACACAAAAGAAATCAGAACCAGTGGACGATCCAATACTAAGATAAATCGGTCCAACATTGTGAGAAACCCTTCCATGAGTTCGAGACCCCAAATCACTTCCATAAGAGTGTCAATGACGGGGATTGTGGATGCCATCTAAGACAAGGAATATTTCAATGAGGCAACACAGATGAGAGCTATAACTTACCTCCAGGAAGCAAGGAAGTATTGCAAGTATCTTCGGGAACACAACCATGATACAGATAAATGTAGACGCCCTTAGAACTTGATCGAGGAGCTCATCAAGGCTGGAAAGATGAAAGAATTTTTTGTGCTGGGGACCTCGAGTCAGAGGCACGGGGAGGCTCTAACTATAGAAGCATAGAGCAAACCAGTCCAAACAAATATTGTCCATATTGTTGTGTTAGTCTTGACTATCTTTGGAGGGAAAAAGTCCTCCCGCAGAGCCTCGCTGAAGAGGTCTAGATTGGGAGAGCTATCCAATGTTGCGTCCATGCAGAGGGGGAGCTGCCCTCTCATCACATTCAATGATG